CCTTCTCCTCTCACACATTTTGTGAAGAAGAGAATCCCATAACCCTGGGATCATGACCTGAGCCGAAGGCAGACGCTTAACGACTGAGCCACCCAGGCGCCCGACATTCATGTTCTTTAGAAGGTGGACAAATGTATTTATCCCCTGTGCAAATTACTTGGATCAGTTTACATTTTCTTTAAAATAAAAGAAAGTCAAAGCTGCTGGACTTATGATGCATAGGCAGGTATACTTCTGAGTAAGAGAAGACCTTGCTAAATGGGACTCTGATAGCAGAAGGGGGAGTATTTGGGTTCCTAGTGAACTAATGATTCTGTTTTTTTGGGGATTGTCAAATATATGAAAAGTGTTTCCTATGTGTTTTTTTCTCACTCTTTATATGCTCTTGTGGTATCATTACCTCTAATTTATACATGAAGGAACTGAATCAAATAAAATAATTTTGCTGGGATGCCTGGGTGGCTCAGTCGGTTAAGGACTCTTGGTTTCGACTCAGGTCATGATCTCAGGGTGGTGAGATAGAGCCCTACCTCGGGCTCTGTACTGAGTGGGGAGTCTGCTTGAGATTCTCTCTCTCTCTCTCAAATAAAATAAATAAAATCTTAAAAAAAAAATGGTGTGTGTGTGGCGGGGCGCCTGGGTAGCTCAGTCAAAGTTAAGCATCTGATTTCTGCTCAGATCATGATCTCAGGATCCTGGGATGGAACCCTGTGTTGGGCTTCCTGCTCAGTGGGGAGACTGCTTGTACCTCTCCCTCTGCCCCCCCTCCCCGCTCATGCTCTCTCTCTCTCAAAATTAAAAAACAAACAAACCAAAATTTCCTAATCACATACTAGTAGGTGATCAGTTCTTTTGATTGAAGTCTATTCTTTCAAACCCTGAGGGTCGTAAAAAAGCTGGTTTAACTGCACAGGTTGTATGGAAAACTAAAATTTAGTCAGAAAAAAATATTTTTTTAGTGTGTGTGCTATTTATTGTGATTAATTTTGGGGTGGGGCTTTAAGCATCTGGCATACTTTTTAGGTCATCAGAGAAAGATA